ATTCATATCTTCGTGTTCTGCATCAGTATTAACTTCTTTTGAAATCGATTGTTTTTATGGTCTGTGAACACAAATATATGAATTTTCGGCCCCCCCCCCCAATTATCGAGCTGGCGGCACCACTGCCTGCAATCTTGAACATTACACTTGAGACCATTCCTCGCAATAATTTAATGGTATTCAACCGTACAAAATTCACTTGAATTCAATGCCGTAGCCAGAACGATATTTGGGGGAGCACATATTCATATATTCGTGTCCTGCTTTATTAATTTCTTTTGAAATCAATTGTTTTTATGGTATGTGAACACGAATATATGAATATGTGCTGCCCCCCCCCCCCCTCTCAATTATCATTCTGGCTACGGCACTGCACTTGATATGTTCACAATATACAAAGACAGTTGATTGAAACTGGACTTTCTATCGCAAACATTAATTTTTAATAACTGGAATTTTGTCAGCAGTCAGCCTCAGGTTTTGTCGGTTGAAACGGTAAGAAATTCATTTGATTTGTTTACTAATGATCAAAGCATCCATAGACATTCAAAAATAACAAAACTCCAGCATTGTTATGTTATCCATACAGCGGCACTATATTTGGAGTTCTTCTGTGCAACATTCAAGTCTTGAAACTTGAAACAAGCCAGCAGTTCATCTTCATGATGACAATTATATATATGCATATATCGGGAGTTAATTTAATTGGTAGTCTGTCGAACCCCAACTCGTGCAGGTCCAATCAGAGTTTTGCTCAAACGGTATTAAAGACTGTGTTGTAGACAGTTGATTATTAGCAGTCTTATCAACCACAGATTTGTCCGAAAGGGTAATAAGCAATTCAGTACGTTCATTTGATTTGTAAATCATTTGATTTGCGTAGTGTTTAATGTGACTGTATATCTTCTTTGTAAGCAGATAACTGAGCGACCAGAGGTATGACTGTTTGCATGGCCTCATTTTACAGAATCACTGTCATATCTATGTGCTGCATATTTGCGCTTGCTAGTCTAACTTCAGATAATATTACACAGGTCGAGTATCAAAGGAATGATCTTAGAAGTCAAGCCGAAATACTCTCATAATCCGTGGGTTTAGTTTCTTTTCAAATGGAATGATATTGACGGGACGGGCTTCCCTTTATACAGGCTGTTTCAATTAACGTTGCCACAATGTGTCATATTCCACGATACTATCTTCCCGACGAAATGCCTTCACTCGAATCGTCGAATGTTGTGTCTATATTTCTCAGGCAGTTGTATGTCTCGTCACACTCCAGCTGTTTTGAATCGATTAACTTTCAAATTCTCATTACATAGTGGAAATCCTACGTGGGCTTTGCAGCCGTTTCCCACAATGTCGTCAAACACGGATATACAGCAAATGGGCAATCTTTAACGACAATTTACAATGCAAATGATGAAGGATTTCCCTAATGCGATTGATGAAAAATTAAAGTAATTCCTTTAAAATGAGGATTTTCTGAAACTCTCCAGACTTTGAAGCCCAGTTTCGTCACCAGGGAAGCAGAAGTACGTGTAGGGGGGGGGGGGGGGATGGACAATATATGACGTAATCACGGTATTTTGGGTGGGTGCTGCGAACATGCTTCCCCGAGAACTTTTAACTGATCTGAGGCCTTTCAGAGCCAAGGAAATCTTAGGCTGCGGATTCTGCGGAACTGCAATCGCGTGCAAAAATAATGAGACTTTTCACATTTTTGGCCATTTTAAAGTACGTCGGCCTCCCCCCTGCCCCCGTGATCAATGTTGGAAAAAGTGGGTTGGATTTTCTCTTTTCAGTCATTCACACAACATTGAATTGGGGGTGAGGAGGCATTTATGCGGTTGTCTCAATAATTTTTGCTCCTGATTGTCTCTATTTGTACTTTTGAATGAAACGTAATTCGTTCATGTTAATACTTTATTGCTCCAGGGAAGACACTGACTTTTTTTCTTGCTCAATGAACCTTTTGCTATATAATATTTTTTCTCAGCGGTTTTCTATAACTGAATATTTCAAGTAAAAATAATATAGGGGATCTTGAGAACTATAGTTTTTTGTTAGGAAACGACGATTAACTGATGAATATATACATTGGAAGAAGATTATAAAATAATGAATAAATTTCGGACAATTTTTTTCACATATGGCTGACAATCATCAGTATATTTTTTTCTCTCAAACAGAATATTTTCTTTCAGTTCAAAAATTTTATAACATACAATGCATCGTTTTGACCTACTTATATATATTTATTTTTAAAAACAATGGGTGTAACGTGTCATATTTCTATATTTTACTATAGGTTATTATGTAAAGTAGGTGTAACGTGTAATGTAACGTGTGTGTAACGTGTCAGCGTTTGCTTAATGCAGTCAAGTGCATAAAATTTACATGAACTGATCATGAGAGCACATACTGCAATATAAATGACAAATGTTTCTTATTTTTCGTCATATGGCTAAGCTGAGGAACTGTCATATAATGACTCCCTCCTCAGGAAATGATGGTAAATTTGTGGATGTGTCTTACTATAAAAGTATTTTAATAGTTCGTATTTAGCCTACAGCTTGTCTATTTTCCCAAAGATTTTTTTCTAGTAAGTAAATGATAGTAAAAAAACTAAATTTGTTAGAAAAGCTTCTTTATTCTTGCCCAGTCCCCCGCGCAGCCTCCTTGCAGAATTTCTACATTTTTGGGGACAAAAAACTTTCGGCTGATTGATTGAAATATGTCAATTTCAGTCAACTTGATCGCTAGAGTTTGGCAAAATTTCAAATTTTGGACAGATAACCCCCAAACAGCAGTCCATCTCACACAATCGCGTGCAAAAATAATGTTCAAAAGGCTGAAAAACCATGTATGTACATTACCAATAAGGCGCGTGGAGAGTTTTACGCACAGTTTATCAACGAAAATGGAACATATTAAATGTTCAGATATATACCCAATCCTAAGAGTATATAAATATTAATGACATCATGTGCTCTATGGACTAAAAAAGAGTCTCGCTACTAGTACTTTTAGACTTGAGTGCTGCATTTGACACTGTAGATCATCAAGTGTTATTACATCGTCTTGTGGTCAGCTTTGGAATAACAGGCACTGCCTTAATTAAATGGAATTAAGTCCTACAGTACGTGCTTAACTAACAGATCTCAACGTTTGATAATAAATGGCAACTACTACGAAAGTTTCTCTCTCCTTCATGGTGTTCCTCAAGGCTCTTGTCTCGGTCCGTTGCTTTTCACCATCTACGAAAGCAAGTTTTTCGAAATAGTTAACTGTCACCTACCAGACGTACATGCGTATGCAGATGATTAGGATGATACTCAATTATAGCTTTCTTTTAAGCCGGATGGTGCTACTAATGAGCTTGATGTAATCTTTGCGCTACAGAATTGTATCAAGGATATCAGGACTTGGATGAAGCTGATAAGCTTAAGCTAAATGATGGGAAGACAGAGTTTTTAATAATTGGAGCCGGAGTGCTCAGCTAGCTCCAAAAGGTTAACATATCTGGTACTGTCATTGGTCAAGATCAGTAATGTTCCAGTATATGGCATTCTGTGCCAGAAGTCTTGGAGTATGGTTTGATAACAACCTTAATATGAACTTGTCAATCCATGGTATATCACCTTCATAACATTAGACAAATTCGAAAGGTTTTAAGCTATGAAGATAGAAAGTATGTGTTACAAGCACTAATAATGTCAAGGATAGACTATTGTAACAGTCTTCTATTTGGTGTCACAGACGTACATCTGTCTAAACTACAACGGCTACAAAATACAGCAGCTCGTCTTATTTGTTCTATCCCTTAACGTGATCACATCACTCCGACTCTCATCAAACAACACTGGCTTCCTGTTCGATTAAAGATCAAGTTCAAAATTGCCATGTTTGCTTTTAAATGTATCCATCAGTATGCACCTCTCTATCTTGTGAATCTTTTAAAAGTAAGAAAGACATCGTTCTATAGTCTAAGATCTAACGAAGGCACATTGCTACATAACTTTTAAAAAATTAATTAAGACTTATTGTTTTGAAGAAGCCTTTAATGTAAATACTTCATATGACATATAATCTATATAATCTTGTTTATACATTTAGTTAGTAACTATTCACCATATAATAATTTTTATTAAATTAGTGTAATTATGTTTTGTGATGCCCATTTGACCATATACTATAACACGTTAATTTGCGCAATATAAATATTAAATATTATTATTTATTATTATTAGACTTAAAAAAATGCTTATTAAAAACGAGGCCAAAAAACCACTGAAACGCTAAAAATAGGTACGCTAGGCGTACATGTATCTGGGCAAAGCAGTTGCATGGTTGGAAAATTTCATTCACAATTATTGAGTAAACATTTATATTTCGAAGTGTCTATACAGCCGACTATTTAGTAAACTGCTGGCTATATAGTGGCTATAGTTAAAGCTGAATTTTTGATAAGTTTAACCGATCTCAATCTCAAACCCTTCTCTGACCCTAGCCGCTAACCCTAACCTTTTGAGAGTTAGAAAAGGGGGGATAAAAGTTAGAAACACAACCCGCACTGCGTTTCACTTTCCGCACGCAGCGCCTTTCCTGTATACGCTAACGGCGAGCTCGGCACTATGCCTACGAATGTACCATATAACAAAATTTTAACATCCCATATATAATTATGAATAGACAATCAGTATTATTAAAAACGCATGTACGGTTACTGACGAAAATGCTTTACGATGTTACTTCGGCAAATCTTCTAGGATATAGCCAAAAAATGTTATCGGACAATTTTGACCTATCAACAGTCATCAGATGTGAAACATGTTTGGAAATAGTCAGAAACCATTCTTACAGAGGTTGAAAGCATTTAAGAATGGCAAATTTGATTCGCTATTCTAATCTATTCTGCTTCCTATTCTTCCACCACGGTACAAGTTCAGATAGATTGCCCCGTTATTCAAGAAAGCAAATTTGTTTTTTCTTACAGGTACATGATGATTATCGAGGTTTTTGTCACTTTGTTTCTCGTTTGGTTCATCTGGTTCTTCATCAATGCCTACATGAAAAGAAAGAACATGCCTGCTGGACCATTTCCCTATCCTTTCGTTGGTAAACTTCCTCAAATCATCTTTGCTGATCCTATCAGATCATTTCATAAACTAGCTGAGAAATATGGAGATATTTTCACTGTTACTTTTCCCAGCGGCAACGCTGTTATCGTGAGTACAGCATCCCTAGCGCGTGAAGCAAGGCTTGCCCCCGGGAGACAAGAAGATCTTATGGGAAAATCACCGGAGTCTATATATCCGATTGACGAGATAATTGGCGGTATTTTCGCCGCACGTGATTACTCAGACGCATATCTTTTTGAGAAGAAAGTGTTCGTATCAGCAATGCATATTTTTGAAGCTGGAATAGAGCAAGCATTTGCCGCGATTTTCAGCAGACAAGCGCTAATTAGTTCAATTTATCAGTTATTTCCGTTCCTATGTTACTTACCCACGCAATTCACTTGGGAAATAAAGCGAGCAAAACAGATTCGAGAAACGATTTTCCCGAAGGAATATCGAGCCCACCAGGAGAGTTATATTCCAGGCACAATACGCGATCTCACAGATAGCTTCATAAGTGCTTATGAAAAAGAACTTGCCAAAGAGACAAGGGAAGATATTGGCACGAAAGATACTGGTATTCCAGGCTTGATGCTGAATGTGATTCTTGGGGGATCAGCAAATAGCTCAACATGGCTAACTTGGTTTTTTCTTTATATGGTCTTATATCCCAATGTGCAAAGCAAAATACACGAAGAATTGGACAAGGTCGTGGGACGTGATCGTCTGCCAAACTGGAAAGATGAAAAAAGCTTCCCATATCTTCAAGCTACCTTATGTGAAGTCGGAAGGACATCAGGTATGATGACGCTCGTCGGAACAAACACGATTCGTGACACAACCATCGCTGGTTATCACATTCCAAAAGGAACATTGGTTGGCCTAAATGTTTCAAAAGTGCATGAGGATAAACGAGAATGGTCAGAACCTGAGGAATTCAAACCTGAAAGATTTCTGGATAAGGATGCCAAGTTCGTCGGTTGGAATAAACTGCATGGATTCATGCCGTTTGGCATCGGTCGTAGAGAATGCCCTGGTCAAGATTTGGCGAGGGTAATGATGTTCTCGTTTGCTTCAATGTTATTATTATTATTATTATTATTATTATTATTGAAACTTATTTACAAACAATAACCCTTCAGCCTACGCTGCTTTTAAAGGGGTTGTTTACATAAAAGAAAGTACAAAATAAATATTTACAAAATAGTATAAGTATTTACAAAATAGTGTAGTTGACTAGGAGTCTTTACAATTGGATATTTTTTTCAACGTAGGTGATTGTTGAGCTTAGTTTTAAAAGAATGTATCGTCAACTGTTCGTGAACGTCTAAGATTTCGTTAGGTAATGAGTTCCAGGCGGAAGCTCCTCGATATGAAAATGACTTTTTCATAACTGATTGAGTTGCAAGAAGGAGCAGAGATGCCAAGTACTAAAGTGTCCACTCCGCGACTCATCATTCAACCAGATGATTTTCTAGTTGTTGCGAAGCCTCGAGAGTTGAAGTTACAAAACTGAAGATAAAATGATGTTCAGGATTTTTAATGTTTATTGTTTTGTAACAGTAACAATATTAATAATAATATCGGCAGCAATAGTGACGTTAATTAATGCAACGAGCATTTTTTAGAAACTCGTTAACTATTACTTCAATATGTTTGGTCAGGTTTATGGAAATTTTGGGAATCGTTCATAATTACGGGAGACATATTTCTATTGTATCGACAAAGCAGTCATTGATTACCAATAATGGTTCATTTTAATCATATTTTTAACTCAATTAATGTTTCAATCATAATAAACCAAACACAAAGCTTGTAATACCTTTTTATGATTTTCTAATTGTTGAGTTTGCAAAGCATATATCGTTTAATTAACTGACTCTATATGCACATGTATTCTTACAAAAATCCGAAAAATGTTTCTAATTTCATAAATACAGTAGTTTGGGCTATACAGAGCTGACAAAATATTTTCAACGTAGCCGGCAGCATTATGAATTAATGTTTTTCCATCTTCATACTGAGACTGGATTATTAAATGCAAAATAGTAATTCCCCCGTCATTCCCGATGATTCCTTTCTCATTCACCCATCATTCCCCGCTTATTTCCCCCTCATTCTGTGGGAATTCCCCAGTTATTCTTCCATCGATTGCCCGCTAATGCCCTGTCAATCGATCCCCGCTCATTCCCAGTCGGTTTCCAGTTCCCATTCCCCCATCGATTCTCGAGCTCTGCTCATTCCCTGTCATTTCTCTGGTCATTCCCCATCGGTTACCCGTTAATTCCATGCTTATTTTCCATCGATTCCCTGCTCATTTATAATCAATTCCTTACTCGTGATCATTCCCAGTCATTTCCAGACCAGATTCCACAGTCGATCCCTGCTCATTCCCTGTCATTTCTCTGCTCATTCCTCATCAGTTACCCGTCAATTCCATGCTTATTAAATTTCCCCCATCGATTCCCTGCTAATTTATAATCAATTCCCAAGTCAGATCATTCCCCATCGATTCCCCGTTCATTCCTCTTCAATTCTCATGCAGGTCATTCCCCCCTCTCATTATTCTCCTGTTCCCCTGTCATTTCGCAATCATTCCCCGGTCATTTCCTGCACATTCTTCCCTCATTCCACGCTCATTAGCCGTCGATTCGCCAGTCATTCTTTTCCCATTCTCCTTTCCCATTCTCTGACTCCCTGTTCCCCTTTCATTGGAGTTTCATACTACAGTCAGTAAAGTAATTGTAATTGGTAACCCTTCGCATATTCCTTAATTAAATTCGCTGCTGAACCATCATTAATATAACATAAATATATTCAAAGATCTTGTATTACAAAAGTATCAAGGCCTTTGCAGGAGAAACCGGTTAACCCCATATTTGGATCCTCTTATCTAATTACAATATACTTTCTTATCTACGACACGATAAATACTATACACTATAGATTCCTCGTCGTGATTTTAGGCCGTCGTCTGCCACTTGCTATCTTGCACCTTCCGCTGCACATATCGCAACATTGAACGGTTTCTTTCTTAAAATATGTATTTTCACCTGGTATGTCTTTTGCAGCAAACCCTCCGGAAATAACTTTGCACGATATGAAGAAAATCGTCCTTAAAACAAGTGGATTTTTGCTTGTCGCTTGGCGGCCATTTTGAATCTCATTTTCGCTTTAATAACACAATTTAGAATAGGAGGGCCAAACCAGAAATGCCTCGCCAATTCAAAAGGTTCTTCAGCCTTGGAGAAAACAAGGAATCGTTGATAGAGTTTTATATATAAGCATTTTTGCACGATGAAATTGGAAGGAAAGCCGTCGTCGTCTCGCGCTGTACTTTTCCCATGGACAGATGGGTCATCGGTTTTATGTTGATGTGAGGAATGCGGTACGACTTGAAGACGCCCCAGAATTATACTCCGACCCAATCTCGAACCCTGAGCCTGCAATCCTCTGTGCAGGCTTACCGAGGCTCTGAGAAACACCAGCGAAATTCGGGCTCTGATTGGTTGCTTTTCAAGTGCTAATTATTATTCAAGCTGTGGGTTTATTTAGTATTTTAGTAATTCAAACATTCTGTTTCAAACATTCTGTGTGTATTATGTTTAAACATATCAATAAAACACACATCATAACTTTAATAAACTTATTAAGCTTCCTTCGCTTCTCATCATGTGAAATCAATGGACTATTCTGATACTTAAATGCCAATAACAAACTGTAGAATAACAACAGTGCTACCAGTATCTTTAAACAATTCAGAACCATTGCAAGTGCATGTTCTTTTAAGAATTATAGTCGTAATAAGCTTAAACAACAGCATCTAGTAATAATTCATGTTTGACGGCAGTAATATCTATTTATAAATGTCGAAGGGAGTACTGGATCCAAATGTACTGATTTACGTGCAAAATTTGCCGGTGTTTCCCAGACCCTCAGCAAGCCTCCACAGAGGATTGCAGGCTCAGGGTTCGAAATTAACTCCAACCATGAAGAAGCGGATACTCGTCTCAGTTCTTCATGCAAAACACGCCTCGACTGAACATCACGTAATAACCGTGCAAAGTCCCAATACGGACGCAGTGGCGTAGCTACCGGTCCTGCTTGGCCTGCCCAGCAGGACTAAAAATTTCCCCAAATTTCCTTACTAAAACATTGCTTTATTTGTCCTTATCATATTGTTATTTTGTCTCATTTTCTCGTCTTTTTCGTTATTATTTTTTAAAAAGTTTTTCACATTCTGTTATATTTACGCAATTTTACAGCTTGCCGTGTCTATTACCTAGCAACTGCAACTCTACATTGATTTACACGCGCGATTTATCAATTATTCCACCAACGCGGATCATACCTTCTTTATCTTCGATGTGCTTAGCGTCTTCAGTTCATTGGGCTTCCTTTATCCAAAAGATTCAAGCTAGTCTTCCGGTGGCAGTGATTCTCCTCCTACTGCAATCTCGTTGGTCGGCTTTATCTTAGCAAGTAAGTTCTTTTTCATCCGTACGTAGAACCCACGCCGTAGGGTTATTCAAAACAACTGAACCTATAGCGAGGTTTTGATTGCTATAAATAAACTAGCAGCAACTAAAGCTTCATGAATTGACAAACTTCCTACAAAAATTTTAAAAATTGCAGCTCCGATTATTTCCGAATTACTATAGCGACCATTTTCAATGTATCTTTAAAGACTGGCACATTCCCAAATGACTTAAAAGTGGTCTTTAAAACTGGTGATAGAAAAGATAGAAATAATTATAGGCCTATTTCTGTGCTTTCTGTTGTTTCAAAAATTTCGAAGAGCTATAGTTTTTCACAAGTATACGGATATTTTATGAAGAAAAATATGTTTCCTGATCACCAATCAGGTTTTCGTCCTAATCTTAAAAAGGCATTTGATACTGCATGTGAACCATAGCATTCTATTGAACAAACTAATGCGTTATGGAATTAATTATAAAGATAATGATTAAAATGGTTCAGTCATATCAATCGAATAGGACTCAATGCTGCTCTAGTATATGTCAATGGAGTTCTTTCAAGCAGACAAATAATATCATGCGGGGTACCACAGGGCTCTATCCTTGAACCGCTGTTATTTTTTATGTATAAAAATTGTCTGAACCCATCCCTAATATGTATGCTGACGATACAAATATAACTGCTTATCATATAAATATTAATAAAGTTGAAGGCGTACTTAATGAAGATCTAGAAATCTTGTATACATGGTTGCAAGCAAATAGACTAAGTTTAAACGTCTTAAAGAGCAAGTATATGTTAATTGGCTCCGAAGTTCGAATAAAAAAGTTGACATCAGATCCTAGATATTAGGGAGCTTTAGATTTGACTACGAGTACGACTACGAGTACGAGATTCGTCAAGCTAAACGCATGCTGTATGCTTACGCCATCCCGTACTGACGCTAAAAAGTCGTATCCGTCGCCCATCTGAGTACGAAATTGTGGAGAAACCTCGTAGTCCTCACGACGACTTTAAAAAAAAAAAAAAGAAAGTTGGCTTTTTTTGTTTTCCAAAAATAATTTGTAGCATTTATATAGCGTTTATCCGGCGCAAATAGTATATTAGTACTAAATATCTGGCCTATTTTTAATGTTATGACTTATTTGCACGTTTTGCAGGGGATTTTAGTCAGCAGGAGATTTAGTTTATGAAACTTTTTCTCTCGTTGTTGATTTACTGTTATAAAAGCAACATTTGAATGGAAAGGAGAACGACTACGGTGACTTCCTCGCACTCGATCAAATCTCGTACTCGTAGTCGTACTCGTAGTCAAATCTAAAGCTCCCTATTTATCGGAGGACGACACCGCCTAAAGCGAGTAGTTGTAACAAAATCCCTGGGGCTTATGAGTGATGAAAATTTATCGTGGGAAAAGCACGTAAATTATATATCAAAAAAAGTATCCAAACGCCTAGGAATGTTAAGACGCATTCGTGATCTGGTGCCAATTAACACGCTAGTTGACATATACTCGTCTATCATTCTCCCCCATTTTGGTTATTGTAGTTCTGTGTGGGATAATTGCAGAAAAGGTTTACGGGATAAACTTCAATCATTACAGAATCGAGCAGCTCGAATAATTACTAGGAGCAACTATGAGATAACTTTTAATAACTTAAATTGGCCAAACCTAGAAGATAGGCGAATGAAACAAAAATCTTGTCTAATGTCCACAAATTATAGGCCCATCTTATCTTTCACAGCCATTTAGCCGAGCGAATTTAATTCACAGCCATGGTACACGAGGTAATGACTACAATTTTGTTATTCCTAAACCAAATATCAATTTTTTGAAAAATAGTCTCGAATA